GTAATTTTTTAACACAAAATTTAAATTATTTGTACAAGGTATGTATAATTCATATCTTATTATTTATTATCTTTTGATTTAATGTGTAAATAATGTAATTATACCAATTAATTAGCCACACCCTAACCCATAAAGAAAACAGTAACTTTCTTTTAATTTGTTTTTCATTTTTAGTAAATGTATAACTTCTTTAGAAGATTTTACATTGTATCATGACTTCAGTTTTTGACGAAAGACAGGAATTCTTGAAAAGTCCTTATCTTTTAAAACGCGAGTACGGTAACTTCTCCCCATTCTACATTACAGTTGCAATTTGCAGTGTAGTCCTTGCAATAATATTTGTCATTAATATCGTACTTGGTTGCTGTACCAGATATTCAGAGTATTGGAACGACAGATTTACAGGTAATTGAAGGATATATTTGTGGGTATTTATCATTATCTAATGTTACTTTAGGTAATCGTTGGATAATATCACTTTGGACAGCAACCCCTCATAACCAACCATCTCTTGACTATACGGAATTAGAATTGGTAGATATACCAAGTGTAGCTCCAACAGTATATCAACCAGCACCACAAGAACAACAAACTACTGTTCAACACTCAGAATATTTAGAACTTCAGCATAAAAGAGAGAGTGCAATTTAATTAATATTCAAAATGTTTCATGTATACTGGCCCGCAAATGCAGCTCTAACACTCTTTTTAATAGTGTTTGTAATCATTATTATTCTGAGATTTGGCCCCCGTTTGTGTAAACTACGTCATACAACCCTGCCAGATGAGCATCAGTGGCAGGAAAAAATTTATGAGCAAAAAGTGCCTTTTGAATCATATGCTTAACTACAGCACCAATGATTACAATTAGTTTGTTAGGTTTTATCAAAAAATATTTCTTTTTTATATCAATTAATACTAATATTTTGTTACTCAATCTTTAAAAGTATTTATAATGTATTTTAAATGCACAACAAATATTCTAATCACAAGTATTAATTTAAAGACTTAAAGCGAATCTCTACTATTAGTGGTAAATTTATTTAATATCAAATGTTGCTTTAAATGTTTTATTTTGTGTTTATTAATTTTTGTTTTCCAAGTTTGAAGATGTATAATTTTATCTACAATCCGTCCATTTTAGATATTTATGTATTTTACCTTTTTTGTAACTTTTGATAAGTGTTTTTACAACTATGGGTTAAATAAACAACTTTTTATATCATCTACTTCTTTACTTTATTTTATCATTTAGTGTTGATAGTAACTTAACAACTATAACAGAAAGAAAAGTAATGGATATAATGTGCAATATGGATCATAAAAAAGAAACCTTATTTAGACTAATTCTATACTTCATCTTCATTTAAAAGCATGTTTGGAATCCCATTACTAATAGGAAATTTTCTTCCTGTCTCTGGACAAACTAGCTCTCCATTAATTACTTCAACTTCCAGTAAAACTCTATGAACTTTCTTGAGAAAATCTGTATTGTTCTCGTAATCGTCAACTATGCTTTTAGGCATATCTTCAACCTGCCCAATACTTTCTGCTGCATTGTACAAAACATTCCAATCCAGTTTAGGGATTATTCGAGACACAAATTCAGGATTAAAATCTACCTCTGATACTTTCACATCAAATGCCTACAGCAAAAGAGAGTTTATATTGGAACAATATCATTAACAAACACATTTTTACATTTATTTTTAAAGGATATCCAACAGTGACCCCTTTCATGCATTTTGAGGTTAGCATGTTGTGAGTTAACAGTTTCATATTGCAAACTGCACTCCTTTTTATTTAAACGCCAGTTAATCTACAAATGCAAACTTAAGTGCGTTTTTCTTAAATAATTATTAACCATTCCACTTATTCGTTATTCAAAAATTAAAGGTTATATTCATAGATAATAGGTTACATTAGTTAAAAATACAACATTTATCATAGATAACCATAACCGTAGACTATAACTGCTCTACTAACAACATGGCCTTCGAAACTGAACCAAAGATAAGAACTGAACATTTTTTTTAGTATCTATCTATTGATCTATCTTTATAATAAAACTCCAGGAAATGGAAATATTCTATAATTTAATTAATATCATAATTAAATATTTACTCTTCTATTAATTCTATTATTCTATGAGTTACATCCCAGAAAGGTTTGTGATGTCTATGGTTTGTGTTCATAGATGAGACGTCAATGTCATAATTTAAGGTTAATATTTAATCCTTATTTAATTTATTAAAATGAATTGAATTGTGACCTAATTAAATGGACTCTGAAAATGTAAAAGAAAGGCTCAATTCTCTTTTACAAAAGAAACTTTCTGGTCAACAAGAGAAAGATGTAGGAAAAGATGGCAAAGTTAATGAAAACTCAGTTGAAGAGATGTCAGTGTCTCCTCAAATATCAGATAAAAGAAATATTCTTGAGAAATCAGATAGTTCCAGCAGTGAAAACGGTAGTAATGGTACTTCAGAAGAAGGAAATGAAGATTTTATTATGAATCAGAGAATATTGTACGACATTCTAAACGAGAAAAAGGCTCGTTTGTTGAAAAATAGTGAAGTTATGACGTTCTTACAAAAAGGAATGAAATCAAATGAATAATTGTATGAAATTAAATTATATATTTTTTAAATAAACGCGATTTTATTTATTTAATAGTTTTAAATAAAATAAATTTAGTTTTGTATAAAGTGTATGATATTACTTATGTATTACTACCAAAAACCAGAGAGTATCAAAACCTTAATAGTAGTGAATAAATGACGACAACGGTTTAAGTGGTTAATATAATATAGACTTGTAAACAAACATTTGTGAAAAAGATAATAACTTTGTTATCACTCATCAATAAAAACATATTTCTTGTGAGTGCGTAGAGAGTACGAAAAACAACAAAACGTTATTTTTAGGAACAAAAACAACTCTTGACATTCCTCCTCCCCCACCATTTCCAAAACGTAAAGGGTGAAATAAAAATGAAGTCGCAATGATGTGAAGAATAAGCTTTGTTTTGTTTTTAAAGTATGTAACAATTTCTTGACATTTTATATACCAGTATTTTACCGTACAATACAGTTTAATTTAAAGGCAATACATCAATTATTTTATTGGTTTTGACGACATACTTGAAACGCTTTTTGAGAAATGACTGAAATTTCGTTTTTTGTAATCATCTGCTATATCATTAAGGTCGTATAAGAACGAATACAGTTCATGTATCAAAATTTACGGACTTTTCTTCAAAGCAAATGGTAAAATTCATGGAATAGAATACTTATATTTGTATTAATACATTACTCCTTAACCTAACATCAATAAATTTTAAAGGAATGTTCTGTGTTGTATGATAAAAATCATTAATATTTTTAGTTTTAGTCGAGATGGTAAGAAAAACGAATTGATTTGATTCCAGGAAGTGAAATGGACCATCCTATATTCATACCTTATTCGCCTCCAAATGGTGTACCTCAAGAATCAAAACTTGCTACATATATGGTAATATACTATACCCCTTTAAGTTAGTAACACTTCCATTCCTTTCTTATGTTTAAATCTAGAGTCGCCAGAATACTAGTACACCAGTGATTACAAATTTATCATCAACATTTTCAAAAATAAATATTGGATCTCCTATATCATCCAAGAAAGTCGTAGCACAGTCTCCAGAATTTATTCCAGGATCTCGAGTAGTTACAAATAGTGCATCAGGTAAATATACAAGATCTTTTTACCCTTTTGTCAAAGTATTTTTATTTTATTGCCAATTTTAAACATACAACTCCAGAACTTCACATTTAAGTTTTAATACTCTTTTGGAGGTCACCTTGTAATATAAATAACATTTATACAGTTCATGTTGGCTATATAGTGGTACATTGTGGTGTTTTGGGAATTAAATAAAGATTTATTATTATTATAACTAATTCATTTACTCATAATAGTCTTTTAATTATTTTGTTTTCTTCATTATTTTATGTTATTGCGTTAACTTGTTATTGTGGCACTTAAACTATGTTAAAAAGCTGTTTTTTTTTTAATTTATGCTAATGTAATGTTTCTTAACTTATTTTACAGCGTCTCCGAATTTCTTTAGCTCATTCCCAGGACTGGCTGGCACTTCCTCAGGTTCAGGTCTTTCACGCAGCTTAGTCGATTCACCTCACAGTGGAACAGTCTCTCCCCATATCACTCCACAGCCCTCCCCACCACCTCATGCAATCACAAATTGCTCACCAATTCCCCAGGTTGTTTTAGAGAAGCCTTCAGTTGTAGCTGCATATCAGGTTAGCCAATAAAATTAACTGTAATTGTACTTTTGTTTGTATTGTAAAAAAGGTAAAAAGCTCTTATCTTCAAAATTTGGAAACTTTTATAGGGAAAATATGCTATTTTTCCTATGAAAAAATTGCAACAACTTGTAATTATTGTCCTTATTCATTTTCTGTTTTTATATAGGAAAATGTAGGTGGCACTACGTATTTTTATCCGACATCTGCAGATAATTCTGTGACGCCAAACGATACATTGAACTCGGTTGGGGTGGTTACTAGTATCGCTTCCGGTTACCAGGTGTATCCCGGCACCCCTAGTCACGTAGCTGCACTCAAGGGCCGTGGAGGCAACTCATCCTACTTTGTTTCAGACGATATAAGACTCGACATCCTCAACCGCAATGCTCTCACGCTCATGCAACCCGATCCTGAACAATTTCCAGGTATTCTAAACATTAATTTGCCACTTTGATTCTCTTTTTTTATTGTTTTTCTTTCAGATCTTCCTCCAGAAGTGGATAATTACCATGAATTGTGCCCCATCGAACCCATTCCATCGAATCCCCTCCATAAAGCTCACTTAGGTTACCAAGCGTCAATGTACAAAGCCACCCATGTAAAGACTGGCACCAGATATTGTTTAAGAAGAATACACGGTAATAAAGTTATAGTTTGTGATTTTACTGGATCTTTATAGATCTGATGTTGACGAGCAAAAACAAAAAATCAATTCATTTGCAATCTGTAGATGTGGAAGTGCATTTTCAGGTTTCCGTCTTCAAAACACGAAATGTATGGCTTATGTGGACCTATGGAAGAAACTCATCCATTCCAACATTGTACAACTAAAGGAGGTTTTTACCACCAAATCCTTCGGAGATAATTGTAAGGAATTCTTCACAATATGTTCATATAAATACATATATTAATTTTTTTTTTCACAGCATTAGTTTTCGTTTACGACTATCATCCAGGGTCGGAAACGTTGCTGTCGAAGCATTTTTCTCCGGATCAACTGAACGGATATACAGACCCCTTTGCGACCGATCCTGCAGCTCCAAGACCTTACAGTCACCAGAAGAACAATATTCTTCGCTACCAACAGACTAACAAACTCCCTGAGCCTCTTATATGGAATTATATCATCCAGTTAACATCAGCACTCAGAATTATCCATGCGGCAGGTATATTTTTTATTTATTAATTAATCTACTATTACTATTAGTGTA